GCATTTTGTTTTCAGTTGAAACTATACATAACAAATATCTTCTTCACATATTCAACTCAGATTCAATTGACACTCCTTCGTAACTTTTAACCGTTTTAAAAGAGTTTTTTCATCTTGTTGATATATACATATACCAAAGTTAACTTTTTAAAACTTTTTATTTCCCCCCAAACATCCTGAGTTGATCTCCACATAAAGGCCTCACTCTTCATTTTGTTGGAATCTAAAATATTTCAAGCAGTGCTTGAAGAAAAAAAAAAAAAAAGGATATGAAACCCATCAACAGGTAACATGTCAAATTGGCATACCCTTCTGATAACTGGCAGTTGGTCAAACGAAGCTACGGTGTGAATGGATTGGAATGGACCTTCACGCCAAGTGCAGCTGTTGCGTTGAGTGCTCTCTGCTATACATGCACGATTACAGCACCAAAGGGTCTATCAAAGAAAAGGTTACCCACATCTATGAAAGCGAGCCTCCACAAAATTGGCAGCTGCTTGCAAATGCCGACACCACCAAGACTACAAGAAACTACATGTTTAGTACAAGTAGTAATCTACAGTATTCAGTGCTCTAATCAACTTGTGTACCTTTCTTGAAGTACTTTTTAGTAAACGGTACCTCATCCAACATAAAGTGTGCAGTATTTTTGCAGCATTTGGTCCTTCCATCAAAATCAAAAGCCAGGTGGTTAGGATTGATGACAGGGTTGGTTTTTAAAACAAGTCCTTCAAAGGAATATGAATAAAGCATATATCAATTTTATAACACCTCACCCACAGATTCTGTATCTTGATTGACCGAAAGTGTGTCATGTGACGCTTGCTACTTTTATTCTTTTTGTACCACTACTCAAAAAAGACTACAATGTACATGCAGCCTCACTCTGAAAAATAAATATCCATAGCAACCAAAGAACTATACCTGAAGCAACCAAAGAACTATACCCATAGCAACCAAGAGAACTATATCCAAAGCAACCAAGCAACTATAACCGTAGCAACCAAAGAACTATATCCGTAGCACCAAAACCATGAATAGGACCCAGGCATGTATTTTGGTTCCTAGCGTAAACCTTTATCACCAGTAATGGCTCTTATTCAGGTTGCAGGATTAGTCTTAACAAAGAATAATCAACAAGTCAATAAGGAAATCAAGCATTTCATCCCTCCAAGCAAGCAAGGGTTGTCTTTTTGGCCATTGGTGGTGGTGTTGGTGGTTGTTTACCACTTTGTCAACAATTCCCAACAGCCTTTGCAAAATGCATCCATAACTGACTGCTTACTCTGACAGTATCTGCTCTCTTGAACCTTTTGAGCTGGCGCAACCTCATGTACTCCGATTTGACCTTCCGTTTGAGGTCAAAGGGTGGCTTGCTGGCGGTTCTGTCAGGGGTAGACGTGGATGACCGTGTGCCAGGCGGACTGATTGATGCCATCTCTGATTGGCTTCTCTAGGGCAAAGAATGCTAATTCAAAAAGGTCAAATGTTAATGAGCATGGACAACAAGAAGGACAACGAGAAACCATCAGACGAGTACATCAATCCACAAAGTGGTACTTTTCAGTATCAGGACGGATTCCTAGGCAATTCTGTAATTGTAGTAGTCCTACTTGTTTGGTAAGTCACTTGTTTTTTTTTTACTTCCAACAGTTTTTATACGTTGGACCAGCAAATTTTTGAAAACTCAGAGCTTTTACTCATCAACCTCACACTTCTGACACGACGATAACCATATGTTGGGTCAATGGCTGACCTCTAAATATTGCCTCGACCATTTTCAAAGGTTGGGGTATAGTGCTATCTTGTTTTCATCACACGACTGCGCCTTGCTATCAATGGGACACTTGACATTGCACTTCCCAGTGCAGGATTATCTATCCCTACAAAATACAGTGCAGTCACACAATGAAACCAAGATATCCTTCACCTTTGAGACTGGCTGAGCCAATATCCAAAATGTACATGTGCATGTAGGCCACTGGCCCAATGGAAAGAATGTCGCATCCTGCCTCCACTTTTTTCACAAGACCTACGATCATCTCAATAAACATCAGGCATTGGTGAAAAGAAATGAGCATGGGACTGAAAGATACGTCGCAATTGTGTTTGGAAATATTCATACCTTTTTTGACTACCCGTAGACTTCGTACACAACCACTGAAGTGGAGTCAGAATGTTACATTCCTCCCAACCCAAGGCATGCCTACTGCCTGGTCATTCGGCAGTATTCAAACACTGCAAATGGTCAGACATTGTCAGACATGGTCTAACATGGCTGAAAGGAATACTGCTATTACATGTAGATGATAGGGAGCATAAGCAGTCTCAATCCGAAAAATCATTGCCATTTTATTGAAGATTTAGATCGATGAAAGTATTGGGTTTGTCTGAGAGCCATGGCTTTTTGACACCTGTCTTTATACTGTCACCATCACAGCCCTACTTGAATGCAGGAGGTTAATACCTGAAATCCTAACAACAGAAGTGTCACAAACTTTGAAGCCTTACAGTCCTTCCAAAAGACAAAAGTATGTACATTTTAACTCACACTGATATATCCTTCAGAGATTGGGCTTTCATATCCTTAAGCCCACTGTAACCCTACATTTGAAAAAAAAAATTACCAGATGTCTCCCAGTGATGGTGGCTTGTCTGTGCAAGGGAAATCCAAGCACCAGAATAGGTATGCGAAATGAAATGTTCAAGTGTGAGTCACGAAAATAAAGCAGTTGTCATTGGAAAGAGCTTCACAAATGCAATAAAACAATGCAAGAATCAGCTCAGTCAGATATATACCAATAAAGTTTTGAATTTTGGGGGGGAATTCCTGTCTAAGCGTCCTGGGCCTACATATTATATCAGAAAATTGTGACCCAAATTGAAGTCTTTTAGGACTAGTCATTTCACAACTCATTAAATACCTGGAATATCATGTTGAAATTAACTCAAAGATTTAGCATCAAACGAACTAAAATATATTGTTCTATACAGATGAATAAAACAAAAGAAAGATTCTGTCACTACTAGAACAGGGCCATCCATCAAGGAAAGATCAACTTTATGTGAGCAATGAAAAAAAAGATCTAGTCAACATGATTGTTATTACTTGTGTAACCGCTGGCTATTTTTCAGTAATTAATGGCATTATAATTAATGTTAATTAAACTGTTGTTTTATCTCCCCTCTTCCCTTTAGAGTTTAGTTTAGAATATAGAGAAAGATCTCCACAAATGAGATCCGCCACCAATTCGTATTTAGAAATGTCATTACTTCTCCACGGCATCATGGTAGCTTTCATCCAGGTGCCAGAAAACGCCATCTTCATCCGCTTTGCAATTGGCTATTTCTTGTACATAACAAGTATAGATTGGGCATAATAACACTTCAAATGTTACTTAAAATGTAGTTTTGGATACGATTTGCAACCGTTGTTGCCAAGCACACCGTAAGAGTGTACAAAATTTGCGCAATTCACTTTGAACAAAAAAATTCCACAAATGTGGATTAAATATATATATTAAAAATAGTTTAGGAATCCTAGGGTTTTATTCTGACACAATCCTTCCTTCCAGGAAACCCTTGATGAAATCCACAAGCACAGTTTTCAGATGATTTTAACAAGTTTCAAACATCTTACAAAACAAAAGTGCCATTGGTTTGTACAGTAGTATATCGCCAGTTGTCAATAAGTCTACATGTAGTTTCACACGTCCCCACCATATTTTAGCAATGGGCAATATTTTGAAGGTATGGTTGCCAGACTGATTTATGTACAAGGCATGTCACGATGCTGATATGATTAGTAAGGTTCCCTGACCACAGATTTCCCAGAAGTAGGTTAAATTCTACAAAATACACAAGGGTGTTCAATATACCGGTAGGTAGAACTAGATTAGGGGTAGATTTGCACTAGAAAGCGCAAACGAAGGTTTCCTCATCTACAACTACCTGACCCTAGCAGAGCATTTTTCAAAACCCCACAGTGACACCGTACCATGTAAACAAAGTGCGCTCAAAGTCACATGGAGTAATGACTTTGAATTCTTGAAGTAGGCCGCACCTAGCTGCCTAGAGCCAAATGAATAAATGAAAAAAGCAACAAGCTGTTCCAAAATGTTCAGGGCATGCCAGGCGCAAATCTAAAACTTTCATTGTCATGGCCTAAGGTGAAGTATGCAGCTGATTCTATCGATGTCGCTAAATTGAGCGAAGGCCTTGGTCCCTCAACCTGATCATAGAGGAAGGACACAGAAGGAGTTTAAACTGTCCTGGCTGTAACATCTGGCCAATTACCGCTTTCTGGCATGCCTGGTATGTCCATAGCCAGAGCGCAGCGAATGCTTGCTACGCATCAACTGTTTCATAACCACAAAATCCCTTTGTACCCTATGATTGCCGCAGCAATTTTTTGCTGGTAGTCTGCATCCTTAAAACTTCGTGTACTGAGGTATAGGACATTGAATATTCATACCTTTGTTGGTACCTGGTAGGATCTCATGACAACATCAAATTTAATGCTTGCACAGTTGCTTGCATTATACCGTGTGCCCTAAATCTACATGTATATGTGCAGTCATTGCCCTTAATGAGCCCTTTCTTCTGGAGTTGTTTTGGGAATAAATAGCCCGGTTGTTTACAAGATTTTGTGTTTTGTTTGAATCACTTTTATTATGTCATTAGTACAAAAGCGTATTTTATGAGATTTCACAATCACTCCCTGTGATGAAATAGCGCATTTTGTTCCGAATGAACTAAACTTTCCAGTAGTAGTGAACATTTTGTTGGCCAGTCTTAGCCAAATTCATACCAATGCTTTGAACACTGATGTATTGGACGGAGGAGAATAAAATTACAAACTTTGCATGGATAGTGGAACAGTGTACCAAAATTTAAAAAGTTTATTTATGATTGCAAAAGAAGGTCTAATATCAGGGATTTTTCTCTCTCTCTTTCCTGGTCACAGCGATAATTTTTATTTAACTGCAAGCAAAAAACTACAACTTCTCATGTTGCTAGGAAATATTACTGGCCTCGCTTGTCCGGCTAAGCTAAGATGCAGGCAGTAATCAGGAATTTTTTTGAATGTCTTCTATTATTCGTCTGACCCGGCAGCGACCATCATTGAACACTTAAGTGCCTAAGTTGCAACTCCTGTGTCCTTTCTCCATGACCTGGTCAGGTGGCCACGATATGTCATGCCTGTGTGCTCGCCGCCAATATTAATCGCCATACACGTACACGCGTGCTGGCTATGCATGGGAGACCTGGAGGTCAAATAAGAACGCTGTTTTGTCTGACAAATTTTCCTTTTTGTGGTAAAATTTTCAGTACTACTTATAATAAAACCTCCAACTTCAAATCGCCCTCGTGAACTGATAGAATTGTCTTACCTCACCTTTGGAAAATATCAAAATCTATCCGAAAAGGAAGGGCACTCTTTCAACAAAAACTACAATGGCGCGAATTCCACTGCATGATGGGACGGCTGAGAGAGATCCGCTTGAGGGCGCTTTAATTTGTATTTTGATTTCACATGTTGTGCAGGCGTTGCAGGCCAGTAAAAACTGCCAAAATAGCCAATAGTGATAAATATCTGAACTTTAAAAAATCAGGAAAAATACTCATGAGTTTCTAAGACGTTCGAGATCATGTAAATTAAATTAAAGCCCAGTTTATGATTTTTCATTTACTGTTCAAATTTCCATATATTAACCGATGACTTTTTAAGAAATTTCCACGGCAGGTCACCCGTAAAATGCAGTCATGAAGCCCCTCACCATTTTGAAATATCGATGCCTACACTTCTCGGAAAAATAAACCGTTTTCAGGCACCGATTTCTTCCACATTTTACTGAGACACAAGCTGTTTTTTCTTTGCCCACCTAGGCCTAAACCTGTCTTTTCTACAAATCTTCAAGTTCATGGGCCACAAAATGCTCTATTTCCTGGGGAATTTGAGTGCCTACATTTGGCTCGCGCAAGCAGTTTTCGGCCTATTTACTGGCCTGCAACCGATTGTGATGTGCTAAAGCACGAAGTGGGACTTTGATGGAACAATTCCAATTTACCAGAAGCATCATCCACCCCGGCGGAGGGGGGGGGTAGTTCAAGTTAGCAAAGTTGCATTTTTAAAATTAGTGCATATACAAACCCATTCATTTGTCTACTTGGTGTGTAGGGTGTAGTTGTTGGTATTGTTTTGTTTGCTTGTTTTTTTCCCTCTTTTGGTCGGGCGATCGGTGACCCGATTTCCCGTGAGCGCGCGCCACGAAGTGAAGCCAGTTGTTGAGATGCAAGGTCATAAGAAATGCGAGTAAGTAACTATTTATTGTAATTGATTTATTTGATTAATTAAAGAAACGGAACTGCGTAGAATCCCAGGTGGATTATTTTTTCTTTATTTTTATATTGCTTTCGACATAAGTAACTGTCAGTAACTGTCATATTGTTTTTGATGCATATATGCCCATGTGTATTTTGTTTCGTAAAAGTATTTTGCGCCTCGATCGACCGTCACTTGTGACGGATTTGGCGCATTATATATTCTCATTATTATTATTAATATAATTAAGTCTGCCAAAACCTAACCCTCTATTTCTGGGCAAAGCAGCCCTATTCTAGTTTAAGGCTAGGCAACTTGCTACAATCGTTCATAAACATACTGGACAAATTGTGTTTGTCGACTTAATTCACACATTTAAGACATATTGTTTCTTGTTAAATTTTGATTTAAGGTAAATTTAAGCTGATGCAAATTAGGTTCAGACATCAACGCCTCATCGTGATTTGATCCATATTATAATCCTGTTCTTGAGTCCGGAGATGGAATATTGTTATCTGAACGACTGTCAAATTTGTTTCACCCGCAAAGAAACCTCACAAAAGTGGTAAGTGCGGTTTCTGATAATCTGGCACTTTTAAATTGCAAAAAACGGGCAACATGTCTATAACTGGCCCCTTTCAGCTAATTGGATACCAGTACTAACACCGTAGCCTACATTGCACGACTTTCTTGTAGTTATGATTGTGATAGGAATACCAAGCAGGCGTGACTGAAAATTTCAAAATAGTTTTCTGAGGAAGCAGATCGACGTGTAACTTTCAGCAACCCGCTTTCTCTACTAGCTGTCCTCCCATTCCGATCGGTCGGAAAGGTAAGTCTACTCTGATTCCGAAGTGCATTATCACATTAATGAACCATGAACAGATGGTGTTTATACAGAAAAAAAATGCACAGTTACAGGTGCTAATGAATAACCGCATGCAGGCTCTCTGATACTAGTAGTCGAAGGTTGCCTTAGCAGCGTGTACGTTAAAAGGCCAATGCGTTTGCGTCAAGGCCGGATTTCTGTGGGCTTTTTGTTTGAGTCTTTGTGCGATTATCGAGTACGACCTGCATTGCTATTGCAGGGAATAGGCTCATTCCTCTTTGGTTAATGTCACAGGGTCGGCTCGACATCTGCACTGAACTACGAAGGCCTTATTCTCTGGATATGTAGCAGTAACAAGCGGGGTAAAGCAGACGACAAAATGCTACCAAACGCATGACGAGTATCTGGACCTCGGGGAATTTATTCACAAAGCATTACAAATCCCGCCCATCATTTTCAGAGCTTCTCTCTGACGTTGACGTTGGCAACCATTGACGCAAGGGTGTGGAGATATTTCCAATATTTTGCGTCGAGGTAAACATTTGCAGTCACGTTTGAGGAGAAACCAGAGACCAGCCGAGTCATCGTTAAAGAGATATTTAGCTGAAGAGATTGTAATGTGTGGCAAAATACGCAAAAATGTGTTCAAATACACGATGTAGCTTCCTTGCGGTGCTTTCAAAGCCCTGACTCGACACAGTAGACTAGTGGTAGCCCTCCGAGGTTACACAAAATTCTAAGCCAGCATTTCGGTTCTTCTGGAGGACAACAAAATATTGGACCCACATTTGAGGGGGATTAAATCATTAATGCTATCATGACGGCTGCCAAACCGACTCTCACTAAAGGAGCGGTGGATTTAGCGAGTTTGAAAGGGAAGACACCGGACTCGGTCAGAATACACCCGTACAATCCCTCCCTGCATGCTGCCTCCAGGTACGAGATGGAACCGGAGTTACGACCGCCGGTGAGACAACCATTTCCCAATCTTTAATCTTATTCTGTCGATGTACATTTTTTTGTTCACTTGAAAATGACGCTTTCCCTTGTATTTCGTGTTGGCCCTCTGAACTTGATTGTAAAGTGACACCAAGTAGTGAGGCTGATTCGATCCATAAATATCGGAAATATTTATTCCATCCACTGGAAAAAGTATAAGGCAAGATTATTTCATTACTTTTTTTGGGGGGGGGGGTAAAAACCCCTCAGAATCTATCAACTTCCTCACAGGATACTCAGATGTGGAGAGCAAGTCCACCTGCAGGCGTTATTCATAAAGTCTCAAAGATTTTGTTGTCTCCGCGGTTTCGAATTAGCATTCTTTTCATCGTCTTTGTTCAAGGATTACGAACCGGGAAGAAATGTATACTTCAACATTGCTAAAAGGAAGCTCTACGGGCTTTTACTTGGTCTGGTGGTCGGTGGCGTCATTCTAGGGGCATTCATTGCAATAGTTGTGGCCATAAGTGCAAGTAAGTGTTTAAAGAATATCTTATTTCATTTATAACTAGTCGCGTGTGATTAAGCAAAATATTGCTTGAAAACAAGAGGGTAAAAAACTACAATGTACATGCACTCCAATTTGAAGAAATCAAATGGTCAAACCAGTACACGTACGTCTGTGGTGACATTTTAAAAGCTTTTGCATAAGATGTGGGGGGGGGCTGTTTCAAACATTGGTTTTAACAGACTTGACACTGACGAAGACAAGTTGTCAACCAATGATGGTGTCGCACGCAGGTTTGAGAATATTCCTTACCCATTAGCCTCATGAATATCTTGTTTCACATTAAATTTCTTCAGTAAACATTTCAATTCATACTTATGAACAATTCATACAAATAAACCACAACCGTGGATCAAATAGTAAATACATGCACTTGACAAGATGTCCGTTTTCTCATTTTTGCAGAAAACAAAGTCTCACCGTGAAAAGAAATGCTTCAACTCGACCAGTTCTGGACATACTTGCCAAGACATCAGGGTCATGCCATTAGAAAATGTGTTTTATTCTGTGCTTGTTTCATACAAATGCAATCACTTCTCAGAATTTTGTTTTTACCTTCTTGCTTGCTACACTGGGGATATATGTAAAATAAGGTTGAATACACTGGTTATGTATTAGTTTAGAAAATATAAATTGGATTGCTGTATGTCGTCATCCAACTGTCTAGTTTGGATATTTAACCTAAAGTGGACTCTTTTATAAAAAAGGTTATGCACTACTGGCGCCTTCGAGCTTTTCTTTGTCATTTTAATTTAATTGAAATGATGCACAAAAAGTTTACTAGAGCCTATCCTGGCGATACAAAGCCCCTGCTCTCCAATTCTACCTTGATGCATAACCTATGCATGTATATAACGAGAAGTGTGATACCACAACTGTTGCCAAGAGCTCACCTTCCCAGGGTCTCAATCTTTTGAATTCTTTTGGCATGTATTCTTCTAGTCCTTTTATAATACGGCTATTACATGAAAAGTAATGAAGTTGGTTCTGGCAACCTTGCTGTTTTAAGAGACAATTGTCTCTCTACTCAACAGGCCAAGTAGAAACCTATTCATGTGAACATCAACTCACACCCAACCAACTCGCACAATGGAAAAATATCAGGTAACTCTAGAAGATCACTTCGACAGATATGCCAGAACTCACAAATATGTGAAGTGCATTAAAAAACACTGTGTAGTGATTACTAAAACTGGTTATGGTTAGGAATATTTGCCACGTTGTCCGAAATTTTGCAAATGGGCAAAGCACATGTACATTGTTTTTTAAATGCAACCAATGTTGAGCAATGCACTCATGTATCGATAGTGTAAAAATGATTTAATTTAACCTACACCCTTCGGTATATGTAACTCATACTGAAATTGGAGGATTTGGGACCGTCAGGGTTTAAGTGTCTCTTATTTGTGGTAAGTCCATTCTTCATTACTGTACAACAAAGCGCAGGTGGATCTGCTGGGGAGGGGGATATGGGGTTGTTTACAAGTTGAAGTTGCATCTCCCAAGGTTTCCCAAAATAGAGAGAATAATAGGCTGCATTAGAACAAGAACGTCAAAAGGTCAGCATGGAATCCTGTTCCTAGAACATGTACATGTACGAAGGCAGTGGAGCATGGTACGCATCATCAAAAGTTCTTTCATAAAACACACCCCCGAATAACTGTTTGTCCTTTTGAGGGACACTTTCCAAACTGCTCGCAGCTCTGTGTTGTTACACCATTTACATGAACTTTTCAATCAATGTACTATGTTCACAGGAGAATAGGCACGTCTAAAATGCATGTACATGTACATGGATGAAGCTTGAATGGAACAAATCAAGCCAATCAGAAATTGTGCCAGAGGTCACCATGGTGTCCAAATGGAACTTATAACTGAACTGTGCCCGATTTCAAGGCATTACAAGAATGGAAGAAATAAGAACAATCTTAACTGGTCCTCATAACATTCTCGTTCAAGTCACTGCCAAACAGGGGAAAATACATCTGATTATGTACAAAAGTAAAAAAAAAAACTTTGCCCAGTCTGGTGAGTCAACAGAACTGCTTGAGGAACTTCAGGTGCCAGTATAAATCCACATCGCATTTATATTTTTTGAAGAGGTTTCCTTTATTAAAAATCTTTCAATAATAGGATGCAGGAGGGGCTATTTAACGGCTGTATTTATTTCATCAGTTTAGGGGAAAAACCGAAATGGATTGTAGAGGAATTGGTGGTTGAGTTTAAAAGGCACAAGTTCAAAAGAAATGCAATTACAGTTTAGATGAAATAAACAACAACTTGTGAAGGGAGGTCTTTACAAAATGCATGAGACAATAAAGAATTTTATTTGTCAAAAATGCAAATCTAATGGAGCTTTACTATGCGTCCATACTGGTCACTGGAAAAACTAATACACAAAAGTTTGATATTGAGGACTGTGGTCCTCATTTAGAACCCCCAAAAAGAAAAGTTTTGACACTGGAGAAGCAAGGGAATGACATTTAATACAAGTGGAAAGCAAAAACTTTTACTAAAGAATTTGTTTAATAAAAATGAAAAATTTAAGTGGCCTTCTGCAGCACATCCATCAAGTTTGGGGTTTCTCAAGACCTAAGCATGCATAGGACAAAATGCTGCCTGAGGCAGGGAGGCTGGAGATGATTTGTGAGACCCGTGTTCCTAAGAACCGTCTGTATCTCTGTCAGAACTGAAATACTGGCCGCGGCAAACAACCAATTTTGGCTGTTCGAGCTGTTGACTACAAATGGGTATTGAACATTCCTTTTTACAGAAACTCCAGACATTTTACAGAAAAATTACAAGGGAGGAAAAGAAAAATGAGGAGGAAATGCGGTGGGGCTCACTCCTTCCCCTTTTTCTTCTTTTTCTTCTTCTTCTCTGTGCTTGGCTGGGAAGTAAAAAATGGAAACAAAGAGAGTGTGATTCAGGAAACGAGGAAACTACAAAACTATAGCAAAGGTCAGCCACTTTATAAACCAGGAAACATGAAACGCACGGCGCATTTGGTGTGTGTACTAGCTAGAGGTTGGTTGTAAGCATTTGAATAGCAATTTGCATTATTACCTGGGATTTTCTGTGAAATTTAGGGTTAGGTTTCTTTTGAAGGAACCAGGATGCCAGTGTTTTACTTCAAACGGGCACCTGGTTCCCACACTGCCTATAAATGTGCACCACTACGCACAGTGACCCCTGTTCTTTGTCAAGTCTTTCACGACGTCACTCAGTTGAATCAGATTGCTTTCTCCGGCTTCCATGGGTGGACAGATCCAGACTCTAATCGGGGTAATGCCCATTGTATGATATTGATCCTTGGGATTTATTTACAGTCTTTGTTTGGCTCACTGATGTCAGGCAATGCATACATGTTGCTGTAATGACTAAGCCAAGAAAATGTTACTCTCAAAATAAGCAACAAGGTAGTGAGTGGTGTCAGACACATTTCCAGAACAGCAAGACCTTTGTCAAGTGAATGGTCCTTCAACCAATTGGAAATATTTGGCAGCAGATCAAAGTCACCTCACCAACTTAAAAGGTTGTCACCCAATAATGAAATGGGGACGTTCTGAACAGTCAAATCCGACATGCCTTGGAAAGGATTATAGAGGTTAGGCAGGGCAGCCATCTTTCTGGTCAGTGTTTTTTTTAAATACCATAGGGATACACATGAGTAGGCTCTTTGTGCATATTCCCCACAACTAAGGCACTGACTGGGAAGATGGCTGCATAGCCTGTGTAAGAAGTCAGGCTAAATTCCAGTAATCTTGTAAATCCTGCTTATAGGGATTAACTGGATAACGACCCATAACACAGGACCTGGTGTTGAGCATTTATGGTTGGTGAGAGAACCCGGCACGCTGTTGAATTCCTGGGTGCTCGGTTAAGAAACCCCCAAAAATTCAAATCTTCAATTCTGCCAAACCCCAAAAATTGATCAACAATCTTTGCTCACAAAATTTTAAAATGTGTTAAAGCACAACACAGAGATTTCCCCCTTTCTTTTCCTTAAAACCTTTTTTAAACCTTTTAAAATTTACTCCTTTTATTTTCTGAGATGTTATTTATCCCAACTCCCAAGGCCTTTTGCTAGGATGAAACCTCAGTCTCTCCGACATCCCCAAGCTGCCCCTATTGAAAAATTTGATACCGTCTTTATCCTCCCAAATCTTCCATTATTTCTTGAAAACAGACCCAATCCTTCAAAATCCACCGGCAACTCCTGTCAATACATTCAGGATGTGCAAATGATCTCCTGGAGTAGTGTGGATGATTTACAATCTTGGCCTTAATTTATGCATGCCTGAGAACAAAGACCTTGACCTTGCATCCTTTGACATGAACCACACCTTTCTTTGCCGCACAGCCGAAGTCTTTCAAGTCCTACTCTTCTGCAAGGAAGATTTTGGAGGACTTGGAATGGTTGGTTGGGGTTGAGTAACCAGTTCCCAACACCAATAGTTGGGTGCTCAAGCATTCCGTCCCAATTTTCACACATCCAGAACAGGGCCCACTTTCCACGACTATGCTTGTTGAAGCATGGAGTGATTTTTCTTCATATTTTTTCAAACTCATTTTTTGGTTTCAAAGTGAGGGGGCAGAAAAAACAAAACAAAGGGTAGTCTTCAAAATCTTGAGGCAGGTTGAAATTTGACACTGATGATCAGGGTTGGATTGATACAGTCGTCAGAGCTGTCAGACGGCTTTTCCTTGGTCATCACTTCAGCAGTGACAGATCTCTCCCGCCACATCCTACATCACTCCAGCACTAATGATAATCTAATGAACTGCACTTAATGACAAGGGCAGTCTCTCACTGCATTGATTTAACGAGCGAACGATACATCATGGCACACAACTAAGATGACACCTGAATGTCACTTGTAGCAGCTTCAGGGATTGAAATTTGAGAGACTGCGTTGCTAAAATGCTCACCTCGGACCTCAAAAATACTCCTTTATATTCTCATTAGGAAAGCAATTACCAATGCCCATTTTCACCTGACTAATGAAAACTTGGAGGTCAGAGTGTCATGAGATCTCAAACTGAACAAACTTACTAACCAAAATTCTAGTCTGAAATGGAGATGATAAAGCAGACTGAAAATGTCAGCCCTGCAGGGAGTAAGGACTCGTTCCCTTATGGGTCGAGCCCAACTTCAAGCTTCGAGTTATCAAACCAAGATTTCACCCACCAACTGTCTCCATGTAACAAACGAGTTGTTGCCACTTTGTGCACATTCAAATGAAAATTGACTGAGCACGCTCCGCCCTACACGTGCACAAACCAACATAAACACTGGTTCCCATGAGTTTATAGTAATACAAGCAATTAAACTTACCGTTTCAGGTTCTGTGAGTGTTGTGTCCGCTTCGGTGCCCCCTTCAGATTTTATCTTCTTTTTCTTCTTTTTTTTCTTTTCCGACAGGGTCCTTTCTTCTGGTTCTAAAAAGAAATGGGAGTAAAATCCGAAAAGACGATGTTACAAGACTTAAATTCAGCAGTTAGTTGACATTGTGAAACTAACTGTGGGCATATTGATCACTTTAACCTTTTATTTAACTCAATTGTCACTCTGAGAGTGGCCCTCACTGCACTTTGCCACCCAACCTCCTCCTGCTTGAGACTGCAAAAGTGGGATGAGGTGTTGCTAGGGAACAGAGCTGATCAGTGTTTACGTTGTCCTCACAGATTTCAGACAGCGATTCTTTCCTACATCATTTCAGCCACTGAGAGGAGAAGATCTCTATCCTCTCCAAAGTCAGCGCAACAGGGACCTGAATATATTACCTTCTGTCGCCTCCACCTTGACTATTGAGGTATCTACTTCTTCCTTGACAGCCTTCTTCTTTTTCTTCTTCTTTTTCTTCTCTGGCGTTTCCGTCTCTCCCTCTTCTAGAGGCTCCATCTTCACTCTCTTCACCGCTACTGCCACCTGAGCTTTGCTGTCTCCTTCTTCGTCATCGTCCAGCTTCCTCTTCTTTGGCACCGAGGGCAGGGTGGAGTCCTGAGCGGGGTTGTAGGTACGGATCTCGCTCTTATGGTGGTACTTGTCTGTACGGGCTTTGGCCTTGCCTGTCCCACTGATGCGATGCATCTAGGGGAAAAAACATACATCAACATACATCAAGACATCAGCTAGATGGCCCCAAAACTTGATGCTTTCGGTTGTAAAGCAATCGCACACGTACGGTCTACCTTCCTTGCATTACTGGCCAAGATCACCCATGGGTCCACTGAATTAAAATTAGTCTCTGTATACTTCAGCAGAATTTAGGAATCCTGAGCCAAACTTGAAACGGTGTTTAAAAGAAAATATGGTTCTATCTTCCCCTATCCTACAAATTCCTCCCCAATCTCCCAGTAGATTTTGAAGTATCTAGAAAAGTCACACTTAACCCCTTGACATCGGGACTTTTTTCTGAAAGCCGACTCCGAGAATTTCAGCCTCGCTTGACCACGAATGCCACCTGTCAAACCGAAAAGTCTCGGTTTGTGGCCCTGCGTGCTCTGCACGCTTTGATTTACACAGCGAAAAGGCTCATTGTTCGGTGGCATGCAGCTCTACTCACGCTTCCACATTCCCGTTGCCTTTTCAAAGTAGGGACTATTGTGAAGCTGGTGATTATGATGAAAATTCAGCCCTTTCATTTCTTGGCAACACACAAATTCAATTACCATCTATACAAGAGCCAGGGTATGCCTTCTTTCACCGTGTTCGCTTGAGCGCGGCCGAGAATAATAGCTGAAAAGCGGGCTGAGGGATCTCAATTTTAACAGCGGCTCTTACCGCTTCCCGGTGAGAAGGGGTTAAGCTACACCTTACCACTGGAAAACACTTTAAGATGAGAGTGCCTTTACCCTGGGTTTAATAATGGAAGAATCTTTGTCAAATGACCTAGAAATTTTGGTCTATCATAATTTCAGCTGACTTCAAGATCCAAATGACCTCAACAAACACACTACAAAAATATTTTCATATCATTAAAGTTATATTTTTATTATTTTGAAATGAGTTCATGTATGCAGACATGCAACTTGGACTTTGACCGAATACGACAAAGTTCCAATCTTCACAAGACTTTGCACAGTGTTTTTCAATTTTCAATGGCATGAATGTGAAGTCGCAAACGAGGAAATCAGCTGATCTGAGGAAAAGGTGCATGCCTGTGTATTGCTGCACAGAGAGAAGCGAACCTTCAAGCTTCCACACACTCCTTTGAAACATTACAAATAGAAGAAATGCAGTGGACTGGATAAACTTTTGAAGAGCAGCGCTGATGAGAGTTGGATTGACTGTCATCAAAAGTTTGTCGGATGGCAATTCCTCAGTCATCATGTCAGCAGTGCAGTGCCACTTGGGATAGTGAAGTATGAAAGGGGAGCTGAAATGTTCTATTCCAATGTTGTCTGATGCTGAACCACTGAACATCAATCGTCACAAAAACTAATCACGCGGGCAGATCGTGTGCCATTATTGCAGTGGCAACCAAGCTAGGATGCAAACCATACTTGTGCCTGGAAGGGTATGGGCGATGATGTGTCTAGATGCACTTACCCTGCAACATTTTACTTTGACTTAATGCCTGAAAACACTTTGGCATCTTGAGGGAGGGGTTGAGTATATTGAAATGGGCACTGTTCTAAACATTCAAAATTGCCCATGCAATCGGGCTGAAAGGCCGCGTCCAATTCACTTAGCTATGGCTTGAGATTACACACAACCCTATGGGGCCTGGCTGCAGCCACAAGCATAGACTTGTTCATAATTTCAGACCGCAGCCATGTAAATTCAGAGATTGCCCGACTTACTGCTCCTTCCTCCAGCTGCCTCAGCCTGGCCTCAACCTTGGCTCTGCTCTGAATACCGATCTCCATATCGTTGTCCTCACCCAAGGCATCCACGCGGATCGCCAGGGATGTCTTGGCAGCCAGCATACGAGACAACTGCAAGAAAACGTGAGGAAGGACATCACAAACAGCGGGTTGTTAAACTTGACCTGTACCAACTGCACTGATAATGGAGGGAAAAAGGCTGCCTGACCAATTTACATGCCAAACACTGATCAACAGTCAATGGGAACACTACTGATGTCTTACTGCTGTATAAAATTTGTTTACTTGGCAAAAATTGTAGGGTTACAAAGCTTCCACAAATTTGCCCACTGTTCTTTCCACTATCAACTGTTAAACAGCCTATGTGGCTTGATGCAACTTGCAATTTAATCTCTTGCTTACAATTTTTGAAACATTCATGACAGACACGGAACATCAGTTACCCAACAATGCTTTTTCAAAATAAGATGGTTTTGACCGATTAGGTGCCAATAGACAAACATTTCTGACGTATAAAAAGCACTCCTTTCTTTTTATCTTATAGCTTATAACTTTTAAGAATTGCTCAGTGGCCATACCTTGCCCTTGTTCTTGGGGTTTGTCTGTCCGACCAATGAGGCGTGATAGATTAAACCATATTTGGGCGTGTCCTTCTTTGTTTTGAGAGCCCTAAATAAGGCCTTCTCAGCCCCAAGGATTTGCACTGTGGAGGAGGGATGCTTGGCTAGATTCATCAACGACCCTGCATCCAAAAACAAAATGGCGAAGATAGAAGTGCACCTGCCACTGATGCATTTAATTTTGAGGCTGCATCCGAATCTGATTCTAGAGCTAGGTCTAGGTCTTCGCTCCATTGGAAATGTGTGGAGACGTGTAGACAACAGACCTAGCCATAGCTCTGGAAGCCCGTTTCGGACACGGCCCGAGTCTCAAAGCACCACAGCATTCTCATCCTCAGACTCATTAGGGGCCGTTCATAAAGCACATCGCACAAAATGCTGACTTGTGGACTCCTTTCACTAGTGCGCATGGTACACACGGTGGTTCACACCCCCTGGTACTTATCTATTTTAAAAAAAATCTTGAGGCAGGTTGAAATTTGACACTGATGATCAGGGTTGGATTGATACAGTCGTCAGAGCTGTCAGACGGCTTTTCCTTGGTCATCACTTCAGCAGTGACAGATCTCTCCCACCACATCCTACATCACTCCAGCACTAATAATGCAATGAACTATGCTACTAAAAAACCAGGCTAGTCTCTACAGGTTTGAACTTCAGGACCCACAACACTGGCTCTCTGTCAGTAATGAAAGTCATGGGACACCCAAAGTGCAACTTTATCACTTCAAATAAAAAATTGACGAGAAAGTCTCACGAGAGGCCTTCCATTAGGTATGTACACACAAAATGCTGACATTTCCGACCCCCTTTCCGTGTGCGTGGCACCTCCCCTTTGTATGAATTTCCATATTACCCTTTGCCTGGTGATGCTAGTATTGGTAAGATCCAAGTGGTTGGGGGGGGACAGTTCATGCGTCATGACAATTCTGTGTATATTATTGCTCTGCGTACGTACGCCTTACTTTTCACCTTTCACCCCTTCCCCCCTCTAACCACAAGTAGTGTAGCATATCAACTCATCCTCTTTCAACTTCAATAACAAGAATTTCAAAACTCTCCCGCTCAACAACAATTCTATTACATGGTACAAGCGAGGCAGCCATGTTGGAAATTCTTGTACTCTAACACAATCTCTATCTCTTAAAAAGTCACTGACAAATAATACTTAATAATAATTGAAAATTAATAATGCACCGTCTCAATAGAACTGATCAAAGGCACAGTACAGGTACAACTTAACCCTAATACCCCAAGGGTTGCCGGCCCTAACCTTCCCCATTCACACAAAGTTCAACACCCGTACGGGACTTTATGCACAGAGGCTGTTGGACTTTGTTTTTCTGAGGTATGCCAAACCGAATGCAAAAGCCAGCTGTTATGGGCCTACCAGACCTATCCCCACAGAATTAAACACTTTACTACTGTTTAATTCTGTGTGGTTGGGGAAAGTTAGGGTTAAGGAAATAAACAAGTACTTAAGTTTAAGTAATAAATGAACGTCTCCACGTGAGTGTAGTTAAAAGAGTCGCTTGCAGTAATGGCATGATCTCTGCCAAACAGAGCAACACACCATGGCAATGATTATCACTGGCACACAAAGCACAAATCAAATAGAAACTGGACACTATTGACCACTTCCTGCTGGGGAGCCAAGTTTCGGGCACCGTGTGTTTATAAGCATAGCCGGGGTCTCTGAAATCGGACGAAGGGAACTGGGCCTTGTAACAAAAGACGGTTCTCGGAACAAAAGACCAGGCTGTTGGGCATTACCAACATTTTTTTCACACTCAATAATGGAGATAATTCAGCCTTGTTTTGAAACAGTTTACCACTGTTTGAGGCATTTAGTGCGAGCAGATTACCATCGGTGACAAAAGTGCTCCACCACCGGCATGCTAATCTGGCTCCTATTGAAGAGGTCAGCAGTGCACTGTGCCAGGTTTGTGAACAAAAGAAAGTTACATAACACCGCACAATCTGGGCTCTTTTTACAAGGTTGCAGGCCTGGCTGAAATACTCGGGCGTCAATAGCTTTTGTCTGTCAGACTAGAGTGGCCACCAGACAGTAACTCGTGTGGGTGTAAACGTCCATTAATTGATATGATGAATTTTTGAAGAATTTTGACAACTGAAAAATCTGGAAAAAGTCCCGATTGTGTGCACTGCATTTTTCAAACCACCCAGCAGCAAGTGGTTAGTGCGGGGTTAATTTTTACCTGCGTGTGCTATTAGTCTTGCTCCGACTAGTTCACCGACCAATGTGGTCAGGTTGGGTGCTATGGCCTGCATTCTGTTCTTCAGGTAGTCGTACAGTTGGGCTCTGTATTCCGTTATCTCTATCACCTGCAAGGCGACCAAGTCAATGACTAACAAATCAATTCTGACGGCAACGCACGTCGATCTACGTGCCGCTGTGGGACCTCAAGTTTACGGCAGACAAACACTGCTGGGCTAGCTGATAAGCTTAACAAACATAACCAGCCTGACAGTAACAGGCATTATCAGCCCACACCTGAAACACTCCCTCATTAGCACAGTGGTCCTATGCTGTCAAGAAGCATTCCAACCAGACTCTGTTAACCCCTTCGCACCGGAACCGTTGACAGCCACGGCTTTGTGTGAGGATTAGTGCATACCACACATACAGTCTATTCACCATGCAGCTGCTGGTTCAATGGGGCCTGCTGATGGACAAAGCCTTCCATTCAGGGCATACCACAGCCCAGCAGTCACGGTCAAAAGAATTACCGGCGCGAAAGGGTTAAGAGCACTGGGCATGAGCAGACAAACCATACATTCAACGAACCCAAAAGGACCTGTTATGTTAAAGCACACCCTCTCTTGTTCCTGAAAGAAACAAGCGATTCACACAATCTTTGGCTCGTAGTTTGTTTCTTTGATTTCAAGTGCCAAAAAATTCAAGGTGTCTCAAAATTTTCAGTTCTTGATCTTGAAATCTTTGAACAGGTTTGTCTCTTCACTTTTTCCCCAAGAGTTAACACTGACATGGTGAAACCATTTGAAATACAAAGAATGTGGCACTAGTCACATCAGAGGACTTTGGATGAAGCAGAAGGGTGCGGGACTAGTCAATGGTTTGAAAAGTTCACTGCTGATCAGGGTTGGATTGATACGGTCGTCATAGTTTTTCAGCCGGCAATTCCTATGTCATCACTTCAGCAAAATTTCTCTTCAAACCACATTTCTCCATGCCAATTTTAAAGTCTCTAGTGACAGTGAGCGAGCATTCAAACGATCATGGCAGTGAACAAAAAAAATGTCAGGCTACAACATGGATCACCTGTTCGCAAAGATAGAGAATATTTTGAAAGTCGTCGTCGGATATTTCTGTTCCCATTGAGATCTCAGCTGCAAGTTTGACCTGCTCTTCCAGATCTTCAGGGAGGAGTTCCGAGAAGTCTAAACTGGCTGCTTTGGTTCGGTCACCTACAGAAACAAACGTGAAAATATTAAAGATTTCTTCCGAAGCCTGACATCAATAACAAATTTAACCCAAACCCTGCCAGACGCAGCATATTGCGACAAATGCAAAATCTGGTTCCCCCTTAGAAATCAACAGCTGCCAAAATACCCCCGCCCACGTTGAAACAATGAGAGACGATCCTCCCACTGAACAATACCACTGTTGGATCTTGTGGTGACTAGCAAGCATTGTGGTGGATTTTTTTACGTAGGGCGGCAGCCATGCAAACATGGCTACATAAAATAAATTTCACGCTGTCTCTTGCTTGTAAATGTTCACAATTTTCTCAACTAAGTGACTTTAGCTGTACAGTTTTAGCAATTGTTGAGAGAGCACACAGTTGAACTGAGACTGAAGACTTACCCATGAATTTGACAACCTTTGCAAAGGCCAGATTGTCGCTGATAATTTTCCCCAGTTCAGGAAAGTGCCAGCCATACCACTCCCGACATCTCATGATGTAGTTATTCAGTTCCTTGTCGAGATCGTCTAAAAGGGCTGTCACGGAACACCATTATAATTTAATAAATTCAAAACAACATTCATGCAGTATTTCCAATGTTTTCTATGCTCTGAACGACATTCAGACAGAAGTCCCCTGCATGACTGTAATAGCATGACTGCTTCTTGGCAATCTTCTGATGGTCCGCATGAAGGCAATGCTACTGCTTAGAGCTGTGATCGTCACATCGGCAGGGCGGCTTGTTTGACAGTAGGCGTCTGTCACCAGCCTTGCTATCGGGCGCAAATTAACTCATCATGGCACCTGAGCACTACTTCCATGCAGAATGCAAAGTAAACTTGAAAAATTTAAAAAAAAAATTGAAAAATAAAAAAAAAAAACAGCAAAAACAACACATCTTGCAAAAGACTGAACTACTTCCCAAAAAGCAAATTTTATTTGTCCCCTAACATAATGAATATTCATAAACTGTGTTAAATGCAGAATAAAAAAGGAAACAGCTGCAAAAATGTGCATACAGGTGTCAAAGTCAATGTCAAAGAGCATACTAATGCAGTTAGGCTGTTCCACCACATGCAAGAGCAAGAAAACTCGGAAACGTATTGGGGTAAATCCTGCCGGTGAACTTACAAATTGCCTGAACAATCATGGTGTCCACTTTGTCCGGGCTGAACTTGAGCTTGTATCTGGACAGACTGTGAATGAAAACAGAAGACAACAGATCAAATTCTAAACAGTTCAACATATTCCATGGGAATTCCATGCGAGACTGAACATAACCGATTTGTACTGACTTGGTCGGTTCGGTAACTTAAACAGGTCATGGTCTGTACATCTAACATTACAATAATGTTTACGTTATGTTGTGAAAAATGTTCGTGATTTGTAAATCAAAAATGACCTAGACGGGCCGTCTCAGAGGTAGTGACGAATGTTTTTCAATCTTCACATTTTAATCTGTTACTGAATACATATACATCATTGACAGCCCATACAATGCTTGCACACGTACAATTCACAGTCCTGCCTCCTCCAAATGGATCTATAACATGGCCTCTGTGACCCAGGGGTCACCAACCGTGTATGCATGCACATACATCCGTATTTACATATTGTTAGATAAACAATTAATGACCACAGTCAACCTGGTTTGCATTCAGAAAATCGGATGACTACAAACTGAAACATTTTTTTCTCCACGTATAAATCTTTAGTCACAGCAATAAGTCGATCCTGGACTTCATTCAGAAGGGAGACACTACCAACCTGTGAGCCAGCCCCAGTGTCATTGCTGTCAGCTCCCTCTCAGGGAGTCCAGGCACCAGACTGCTGAACTGTGACCGAATGCCTCGCATGAGCTCGGCAATGGCCGAGTTGTGAACACATGTTAGATCGAGCTTTTCCTGCAAACAAGACAGACAGACAAGGGCTGAATAACTGAACAATTTTATAGCCAAATCTTTGCAAAGTTGTAGTGATAAAGTATGTATGATGTCTCACTTGCTTTCCTCAAAATGAGAACTAACGAGGCTTAAAAACTGAAATCAATAGACATTTGGGTAGTTTTAGGAAAACAAAATTTCGGTACAATTTTCTTGAGACGTATTTCAATTGAAGTCAAGCAGGGGTGAAAGTTTTAATCTACATACATGCACTGCCCAGTTGATACATGAGAAACAAGGGTTGACACTTTGGTTAAAATATTTTAAAGTTCGACACCAAATCTCATATCGGACATTTTTCATGAATCTAGCCACAAACCGGGACCAGAGAAAAGTGCTCAGAGCTGTCGTCGTCACATAGGCAAGGTGGCTTGTTTGACAGTAGGCGTCTGTCACCAGCCTTGCTATCGGGCGCAAATTAACTCATCACAGCACTGAGTGCCTCCAGCCCAACACTGGTGACTGAATGACTCCGACAACGGCACCATATTTGCTACAGAAATTCCAGAGGTCGCCAGTAGATATTCGTGCATTTTTTCCCACCATTACGAAGTAGATTCAAACACCTGCAAAAGTGCCACAGATACGGAAAATCGTGGTGAAAAAAGTGCTCTGCAACCTACAAAGTTACCTGAGACTAGCCTTCTTCAACTTGGGGCGCGCACGCATTCTGACATGACACAACACCCTGTCGGTGAAGGTCAAAGGTACCGCAGGTGTACCACCTGCCCATGAGCATGTTGACACCACAGTAATGGCTTCTAATTCAGGTCACTGAATTAGTCTCCAGAACACAGCAGCCAACATCTTCCTGATAGTAAACCTAGACAGTGACAGCCGTATTACCTTTATGATGCCACCCAATTTAGCATCAGCTACTGCAAGTTCCGAGTGAGCATCTTTCGCAACGATCTTCTTGAGGATTTTCTTCAAGCCCTTGTTGAGTTTGCCTTCCACGGCGGCAGTTGCAGCTGGAAGCATAAACAACTAGAGTGAGACTTTTCTGGGCAGGAAATTCTCTATTTCTTCACAGTACAAAGCACAAACCCTAGGAATTAGCAAGATGTCTTCTGGGTGTTTGCATTTTTCAGAGAGCATACTTGGAATTTTCCAGACGGCAATTCTGACACCCCAACTTTCAATAGGTTATAGCCCAAATCCTTTCAAGACTGCGATATTTCACCATTTTGGGCTTTTAAAACCCTCAAGCGATGTAAACTTCTGGACAGTGAAGCCTTTACACAAGGTCTGCGTCTGACAAGATTGCAAGTTAGCTTTGTCTCTGCACTATGCACTCAACAGACAAAGAATTTTAAGCAAGGTCCTCAGCATCTACGGGTGCGCGTTCAGAGTTGTCTCAGATGAGGTAGTGACGATGTGTGTGGCATCAATGAAATCAGACTACATTGCATCATCACTGACAACTACGCTTAGCTTCTCTTGTGCCGTTGATTACTTCCAATGTGCACTTCTGTGAGGGAGATCGATGTGTCCAAAGACATTCAGAATGGGAAAATAATCCAACCCTGCAACCAACAATCACTACAATCAACAATCAATTCCAAGCCATCATAAATCACACAGAAGACACATGCATATGATTTGGTCTTTGCCTATAAAGCCTCCCTAGAGCTCCCGAAGACTGCCATTTTTTTAAATTCCCCACCTCTAACATACCACAAGGGATAACAGCTTTGTGCCTCAAAGCACCAGGTCTGTACCACACATGGAAATGGTTTGTACAGAAATTGGCATTTTACCTTTAACACCTGAAACATACCTGCAAGGGCTTCTGTTGTGTCTTGAAATTTCTCAAACTGTTTCAGCTTCACTCTACAGGTTTGTTAAAAAAGGCAAAGGTGTCAAACAGAGATTTGCTGAATATTGAAATAATTATCTACAAAGGGTTCCAATCCCCTATACTGTCCTCATTTAATCTGGCTAAAAACCTTTGTGACTCTTCAAAAAGTCAGCAATCAAGTCCCAGTTTAAGTAACAATGGCTCCTATACACCTTCATTTCTACAAAATGTTCCAAAATCTCTGAGGTGTTCATGTCAAGATGAAGCATTCTGGGCATACTCGGCATGTCATGTAATGGAATTGATATATAAAAATACACCCCAGGCAACCAATGTTGCAGTCAAGTCGTGGCCAGTCAACCATAAAGCACTCCACATGAACTCAATTCCCCTGTCCAGATTTCTAGGTTGACCAGTAATCAACTTGTGATAGGTAAACTGCATCTCTAAGGATTACTCCAAAAATTGGCAAAAAATGACAAACAAGAAACAAAACTGGACTGAACATTAAAACTGTCCAGCAAACCCACTTGACATCTTAACACTTGACATCTTAACACTGACTGAACTCACATTCTGCTTGCTCCCTCAGGACTGGCAAAATCCTGGTACAGGTTATCAACGGCAAGCAGCTTCTTCTCATCCAGAAGCTGCAAATAAAACAAGAAGTTGCTATTCAAATGTTAACGATCGCCAAATTACTTATCTTTTTTTTATAGAATTTGATACCTTGAACAATAAGAGTAGGTCTACATATTAAAAAAAAGGCATTTTGTCAAATGTAACAGTAAGAGTAATAACGTAACACTTGATGGCAAGAACACTGATGCGCTGTCATTCTGGTTTGATTTCATGCTTCAAGGGTCCATGCTTAGTTTCATAAGAGACGCCCTGCAACAATACACTGTTCTCAGTAGTTTATTAGCCCTCCAAGGGTGATAAGATTTTCAAATAAGTCAAATTTTGCACTGAAAGTGTTGAACCATAGCATTTACTTAGAAACACTTGCATGACTTGGAATTTTGCAGACCAGTCCCATAGCATAGGGTTCGTACATAGGGTGTGAAATGATGTCTAGAACCTGCTGCTGTTTCACCCCATTTTCCAACAGAAAGCCCGCTTAAGGGCCCTGGAAAATTTTGGATTCCAGATGCTCTGTGGTGCATTCAAGTCCACTTTTGTCTGTAATTTGGCCCAAAATCTGGTTACAACGTGAAATATTGGCTAGATATTCTTCAGGAGGAATTTCTTCATCAAAGATTAATGTTGGTGACTCGAGACATGCTTGAGATGAGCAGAGCATGCGGTTTTCTCATTGATCAGTTGACTGTGAAAAGGTAGAGTAAAAACAAGCCTCAAAATGCGCCCTTGAATAAAAAAGGACAAAAGAAACAATGTGTGTTCAAGCAAAGATAAGTTTACAATTTCCAGCTCACATTATAAAAATGAAGCAACCCCTCCATGAGAGCACAGTGTGGGGACTGCTCAGGCATGGCACGGTCCTTCCACTGGCGCCCGCGCACACTCCGCAAAGCAATGTTGCGCCGCAGGTACCAGTCACATGCACTATATGTACATGTACACATGTGCGCAATACGATGTACAAAACATACGCGATGGTTTTTGTTTTTTAGGACACGAGGTTGACTATGCATAACAGTAGGCAGCCAACGATCACCATTGTCAGTACACCATAAACGTTGTCGATAAACTCAAACTCGATCCACAAATTGCGGTAAACCTGTTTTTTATTAAAATCTTGAGAAAGTAGACATTCCGGGAAAAATATACTGCTCAAAAAAATAGCAGGGCGGCACACATTTTAGCAGGGCGGCAAATTTTTAGTGGGGCGGTCCAAAATTTTGGCAGGGCAGTCCGCCCTGCTAAAACAGCCCATGGAGAACACTGCTAGTAGTAGTAGGCCTCATTGAAAAGTAGTATGGGAATATGGTGCTAAAACTTAAGTTAAAGCATGGAGGTAGAATCTCCATGGTTAAAGTAAGGACCACCACGACAGAGTGGTCCAAGGTCGCTCACTGGTGTCCTCTCGTATGTGATAAAAAGCGCGGCGCTTCGTTGGTTCACGTGATGTACACGGTCCATCGTGGAACTGAACAGTGGAGAGCACAGTAAATCAAATGTTGAACACGCCAGCTACCATGCATGGCATGCATGGCTAGGCAAGTGCCAGCATGCAGCATGGCCGGGTACATAACCGCCAGGCGTGCCAGGTGAAAAATTCCACATTATTTGAACAAGACAAACCTTAAAAACAGCATAACCTGCTGGAGATTCAAATAACACCAACATAATGTCTCCCCAATGTTAACATCAGTTTTGAAGTACTTTGTTGAGGACTACACACGGAACTCGAGAAACTCCATCCCTCGCAAAACCGGCCACGCGGTCTTATTGAAACTGAGCATGCGTGAGGTCATGCAGATCATCTTCCATAAAAGTTGTGTTTTTGTGGTAACAAAATCAGTGCTCTTATTGAAAAAAAAAATCACTAAAATAAGTCAATAAAATTATATAATATTATATTTTTTTACAATGGGACTTGCTGTGAACAAAAACTTTTTTATGCACATATCAACGTGTTCCACATTATGGATCAAGTTGGAGCCTAACATGGCGCTGCCCATACATATACATTGTCGCTTTTCACCTGTTTGATTTGAGTAAGTGTCAGTGTTTGATGCGTACATGTTGAGTTACATAGTTTAATGACATTGAGAGTCTTGTTTTGGCACCTCCTCTCGCAGTTGGATATCTGTCTGTGTTAGTGTTTTTTTCAACGACTTGTTTAGTGGCATAAGCCCTATTTTTCAAAGATTAGGCCTAATAATTTAGGCTAGGCCTACATTATTAATCATGTAGTACATGATGATCACAAAGCGAAACTGAGCAAGTCATGCAAGTTGAACTTCAATCTGCAATTCCAGTCACAACCATCTGACCAACATGACAATTACCCCCAGAACTGTGGGATCCGATGTCCGCCCCGTTCCAATGAAGCTATGAAGCGGGGTAGACATCGGACCCCATAGTTCTGGAGGTACATTAACAATAGGTTCTGGTCTTTCTTTTTCTTTCATCAATATGAGGACTTTTAAAAATGCTGGCCACACACATAGCATACCATGCACACAATGGGCCACACACGTAGCATACCATGCACACAAAGGTGCTGTTCCCTCGCTCTATGGGTTTCCTTAACAAACTTTTCCATTTTTGTATATTTTTCAGCAGTAGGATTCTACAAACATGCATTCAGATTGATAGTCACCATGGCATCAATAAGTCGGGATGCACTGAAGGCTGTCTTGCACCACGATAGTGCAAAACTCAGATGTGATTTTGAGGTTGGAGAAGTAGAGTACATCAGCGCAGGCATCTACTACGATGAGTTTTTCTCAAGGTTTCTCATTCCCAATAAGCCATGTGTTTTTGGTCCTCATATCACAAGAGAATGGAGGGCAGTTCAGGAGTGGGTGATGGAAGACGGAAGGCCAAATTTTGACTTTCTTGCTCAGAACTTTGGTGAGATTATCAACCAATTTTTGTTTCAGGACTATTTTGGTATTCTGGATATATGAATGAAGACAACAAACAAAATTGTATGTTAGATGCTTAAATGACTATCATTCCTAGCCAAGAAGTCCTTGTAGAAAAATAAACATGCTTCCACGCAGATCTATGAAGTTATGAAATGAAATACGAACTAAATTTTGAGACATATTTTTGCATGTTTAACCCTAACACTCCTCAATCCTTCACCTGTTGGAGGACTGAGGACTGTTAGGGTTAGTGAGGTTGGAAAAAAAATAATTATTTTTAGAAGTTAAAAACCAGAACTTGCAATGCTTTAAGAAATTATGTGACTGATGCTACCACTTTTTGGCCAGGACTGAAGACGGTTATGCTCGAGCAGATTGTAAACTTGATCTGTAGAATTCTGCTACCATGAAAACATGTTTATGAAAGTTATAAAAATCGTCTTTGTTGAAATCAATGCTACATGTACAAGGTCAATCTTTATTTGCACCTTACATCATGCTAAATATAACTAACTTTCTCAACAGGATTGAATAGGATCATTAAATACATGTTTTTTCTGTTTCCCTGCTCACAGGGGATGCAGTTGTGCCAGTGGCTGACTGTAAGATGGTCGAGTATTCAGCGCAGCCCAAGTCAGACATGCAGTTGGCAGAATACCTCCATTACTGGGAACAACTTAACGAGGATGTCAGGGAAAACACTAGTTGCCTTTATTTGAAGGACTGGCATTTTAAAAAGTGAGTGATCACCCGAAGACGTTTGGAAGATGAGCCTTCTTACAGAGAAACAATGAATGATTCGGCTGAAGTTGTTGGCTTGACTTACCTCAGATTGGGCCAGTTTGGTAGTTCAGAAAGGCAAGGTCTTCAGAACAAAGCACATGACGTCACTCCAGCTTGAACATATTCAGTTGTTTCTGTGAGTTGGCTAATAGCTGTGCCGATAGGGCTGGTGTGGCACATGCGTGTTGATCTGGAAGGGCTGGTGTGGCACATGCGTGTTGATCTGGAAGGG